TCATTTATTTAAACTGAAAATAGTGAAATAATGCTGACCTTTCAATGGTTCCAAATATACATGTATTTCCCTATTATAGTATCATCAAACCTAGCATCATCGATCCTCTCATGATCAAGATATACACTACCAGGAGACACTCCCCTCTTGTCACGTAATCTCATTCTACACAATAAGTCACATGATAGTCACATGATAGTCACATGATAGTCACATGATGTACTTACTTGTCTAATTCAAGGACACAGTCAATTCCTTGTACTTTTGCTTCTTCAATAATTTGTTTCTTAAGTTCTCTCACTGGTGTACCCTTAGCATAACCAGTATCCATCATAAACTTACAAAACTAAAAATAAATGAAATTATTACAAGAATGTGAAACTATTATTATTATTATTATTATCATTAACAGGCTCTACCCCTTGCCACGCCCAGATGTATGAGTACAGACAAACAAACAAAACTACTGTATAGCGGGAAAATTTTCATAGCCCAAAATTTTGTGGATTTTGCATTTTTTTCAAAATTCACAAAAGTAAAATCTGCAAAAATCAATTTAATACGGTTCAAGATGGCCAAAAAGTAGGAAACTACAAAAATTAAAGCCACGAAATTGATTTTAAACAAATCCACAAAAATTTTGGGCCATGAAAATTTCTCGCTATACGGTACTTTACCATGCAGTAAGGAGTTTGCCCATTAATGTTAATTCTTACCTCTGTGTTGTTAACTTGTATTAAATATAATTTAATTCTTTTCTCTCCTCTTCTTAATGCTCTACCCAGTCTTACTATCAACTAGTAGATACACAAAGTAATAAAGAGATGAGTGTGTGTGTGTGTGTGTTATTAGTTTTTATAGTAGTGTATAATGGAAAGGAGAAATGAATCAAACACACTAAACTATGTACAGTACCTTTGATCCAGACTTAACATCCTCAAATGTCTTATCCAGTTCCTCCATTTCATATTCTCCATACCTACCACCAATTCTACACACTCTAAAACCAGTAGGTGGTACACCAATCAGTGGAACTAGCTCCTCCTTCAATTGAGCTAATGTTATTCTCTTATCAACTAGTACCAGTACTGTATTAATATTATGAACCAACAAAGTAACTTTAATAAATATTTTACTTCTTTTTTTCTTATCACTTTCTTCATTTATTGATATAATTTTCATTATTATTTTTCCTTTAGTTACGTTAGTTGTAGTGGGTGTGGCTTCAGGTCCAGGAGGTATTGTAATGTTCAGTTGTATGATCCATTTGACGTGAGACTCAACATATCTGTACATTAAACTATCTTTAAATTCTTTTTGACAATCTTCAGGATCTGATGATACATAGAACTGAGAAAAAAGTGTGTCTGTGTGTGCCTGCATGAGTTTGTGCATAAGTAAAGACAGTGAGGAGGAGAATAAAATATATATACAAATAAATAAATGAAAGTGAGAAACCTATGATAAATAATTAAAGGATTTGGTATGAAATTGATGCTGTATAGTAGGTAATTTTGGATTTGGCATATTGATAGTATGCTCAATAGTACGTGGCCATAAATTCACCGAATTAAAAACCAAAATTCCCTCTTCTAAATTACACGCTATGCGGTACTTGCCTAATGCAAAATTAGTCGTAAAACCATACAATATAACGTAAATCAGGTTTATTTTGAGCAATGGTAATTTTTGTATAGCAATGTAGCATGCTAAATTTAGAATTGCTAATATTTTCTTTTCCCTATTAATTTATTGGGATAAATAGGCAGTATATGAAAATTTCAGACACCTAAATTTTCCATTGAAATAACCAGATTTACAGTAGTACAACTAGATTAAATGTATACCTGCACCATATGTTTAAGCGTACATGTACATGTGTGTGACTATGGTTAAAAGCTAAATTTTATAGAAAAGAAATGTACAAGTCAAATGCTTCTACATTTACAATAGTACCTTTTCATACTGTCTATATCCTCTAGACAGTATATTCTTCAAAGTACTTCTTACATGACTAATATCCTGGGTCAAATCACCTTGGTAATCCTTCTCCTTCAGTACTATTCTCATACATGATAAACTGATATTAAATAACTAAAGAAATGCATCAGATCAAGTAAGGGAGGGGAAGAGAGTGACAATATAAATGAGAGTATATACTTCCTCTTACTTCTCCTATATGTTGTTTTAATTCTTCAACAGTCCAACCTTCTTCACCTCTCATTGGTTTAGCTGGTCCTACTTCACCAGTTGTTAGATCAACCACTGATACCTCTAGATTAATACCTACACCATCAAAAACATGGAAACATTGTCATGGTAACAAAACACACCTCCATGACTGTATTTTTTAAAAGTTTCATTTTCTTTGCGAGTTTCTAAGAATAATTTAAAAGAAGAATGAACTCTAGCTCCGCCTGCAATTTGTCCAATAGTTTGATGCTGAAACTAAATCTATGATTATAACAAATGGGATAGATAAAATTTAATACCTCATCAAGATCAAGGGATTGATCCATTACTTCATCTTTAATATTATATTTAACTAAACGACATCTCTCAATAGGAATATGAGGAGCTAATTCCATTAACTGATGAGGAGAAAAGAAATGAGCAAAAATTAATATAAACAGCAAACCTCATAAGCTTTATCCAGTACACTGGGTAGTAATTCATCTTTATGTACATTAAGAAATGAGCTTGTTAATTTACCAGTAACAGGATCATTGCAAGATAAATAAATCTGTAAAATAAAGTAAGTAGATAGTTGATCTGTCTCACTCTAGTATATACCAAACACATTTCTTTTTTAATTTTTCGCTTCTTTTCTCTCCGTCTCTTCTCCTCAGTCTCTTTCAAAGCTATCCAAATATTTCAACAATCAAAATTAATGATGACACATCATCAATAAAACCTTTTCTATTTTTTATAATCCTCTCCTTGTGTTCTCTTACAGTCATTAGTTCAATATTCATTAATGTTATTCTTTCTTGTAATTTCTCTATTATTCTTTTATTATCTACTAATGGCTGATAGTCTGGACTTGTCATTGCTTTAAGTTGAAATTTGCAGTCATCAATTTCAAAAGTCATTCCTCTTCTCACTCTGCTAGCAGCTTTATAATTA